GTCCAATGCGAGGTGGGCGTGTCCCAGTGAAGTGGGCGTGTCCAGGTGAAAAGGGGCGTGCCCCAGCGATGTGGGCATGTCCTGGTGTGAAGTGGGCGTGGTTAGGGGAAAGGGGCGTGTCTAGGCGGGAAAGGGGCGTGTCTAGGCGGGAAAGGGGCGTGTCCAGGTGTGAAATGGGCGTGTCCCCAGGGGATCCCCTGATAAAGGGGCGTGTCCAGGCAGGAAAGGGGCGTGTCCCAGTGTAAAAGGGGCGTGTCCCGGTGCAAAGTGGGCGTGTCCCAGTGATGTGGGCGTGTCCAATGCGAGGTGGGCGTGTCCAATGGGAGATGGGAGTGTGCCAGTGAAGTGGGCGTGTCCTACTGCAATGTGGGCGTGTCCCTGTGCAAAGTGGGCGTGTCCAATATGAAGTGGGCGTGTCCAATGCGAGGTGGGCGTGTCCCGCAGTGCCCCCCGATCTGACGGCCGAGGAGCGGCGGGAGCTCGAGAGCATCCGGCGCCGCAAACAGGAACTGCTGGGGGAGATCCAGAGACTGAGAGAGGAGCTGAGCGAGGCCATGAGCGAGGTGGAGGGGCTGGAGGCCAATGAGGGCAGGTAAAAAACCCCAAAATCCAAAAAATTCCCAAAAAAAACCCCCAAAAAATACACCTGGAATGAAAAAAACCCCCAAAAAACCCGTACCGGGGAGCCCAAAAACCCCCGAGAGTGAGAGAGGAGCTGAGCGAGGCCATGAGCGAGGTGGAGGGGCTGGAGGCCAACGAGGGCAGGTAAAAAACACAAAAAAACCCAAAATTCACAAAAAAAACCCCAAAAAAATACACCTGGAACCAAAAAAACCCCAAAATCTGCACCCGGGAACCCCAAAAACCCCCGAGAGTGAGGGAGGAGCTGAGCGAGGCCATGAGCGAGGTGGAGGGGCTGGAGGCCAACGAGGGCAGGTAAAAAACACCAAAATTCACATCTGGGACCCCAAAAAACCCAAAATTCACACCTGGAAACCCCAAAAACTGCACCTGGGACCCCCAAAAATCCCCCCAAAAATCCCAGAGACTGAGGGAGGAGCTGAGCGAGGCCATGAGCGAGGTGGAGGGGCTGGAGGCCAACGAGGGCAGGTAAAAAACACAAAAAAACCCAAAAAAACCCCAAAATCCCAAAAATATACACCTGGAACCCAAAAAAACACACCCAGGAACCCCAAAATCCCCCCAAAACCCCCGAGACTGCGAGAGGAGCTGAGCGAGGCCATGAGCGAGGTGGAGGGGCTGGAGGCCAACGAGGGCAGGTAAAAAACACCAAAAACCCAAAAAACCCCAAAAAAATTTCTAAAAAACCAAAAAAAAATCCCCAAAAAAACCCAGAAAATCCCAAAAAACCAAAAAAAAACCCCAAAAAAACCCCAGAAAACCCAAAAATTCACATCTGGGAACCCCAAACCCCCAAAATTTGCACCTGGAAACCCCAAAAATCCCAAAATTCACACCTGGAAACCCCAAAAAACCCAAAATTCGCACCTGGAAACCCCAAAAAACCCAAAATTCGCACCTGGAAACCCCAAAAATCCCAAAATTCGCACCTGGAAACTTAATTCACATTTAGAACCTAAAAATTCCCATTTAGAACCCAAAAAATCCCGTTTAGAACCCCAAAACCCCAAAATTCACACGTGGGAACCCAAAAACCCAAAAATCCACACCTGGGACCCCCAAAAATCAAAAATTCACACCTGGAAACCCCAAAAATCCCAAAATTTGCACCTGGAAATTCCCAAAACCCCAAAATTCACATTTAAAACCCAAAAATTCACACCTGGAAAC